AAGAGCGTCTATTTGTTATTTCTTTACTTCAAAGTTCTCCTAACTTGGAGGAACTTGTTATAGAGGTGACAAACTTGACTTGTGCTTACATTTTAGTTTACTTTTGTAATTATCATATTTTGATGTAGTTTTCTCTCTTTCTCTTGTTTCAATAGAGTAAAAGAGATGCTGTGGAGCCACAAGTGATTTCGAAGGAATTTGAATCCATTGACTGTTGTTTTAGTCGGCTTCAAATTGTGAAACTTGAAGTTGAAACTGAATACAAGCATGCCCTTAATTTGATTCGGTTAGTGCTTGCAAAGGCCTCATCATTGAAGGTTCTTAGTTTCAAGGTTGGCTTTGGTTTAAGTCGATCAGAGGCTCCTATATTGTTAGGTATTTCACGTGATTTGTTGCGGATGAAACGAGCATCTACGGCAGTGGAAGTTATATTTTTTTATGAAGGTCTTGTTGAGTAGTGTGTTGTATTTGCTTCTGGACTTCAGTGTGCTCAACTCTTTTGGTTATTAAAGTCCTAGATATAAACGGGATTTTACTCATTTGGTTCATAATTTAGTGTCACTCAAACCTTTTCATCTTCAAATCCTAACGATTAATGCTACGATAACGAGGATCAAGATCATCTTGAAGGGTCAGAATGCTTTTTCATCGAGGTGAAGGTCGGAATGCTTTGTAACAACTAGTTGTGACCCAAGTAGTTGTGGCCCAACCCGAATGAACCCATCCGTGTAACCCGAAATCCGAACTCGAAAAGTCCAAATTTCTATAATGGTAAAAAATTGATCTATGTTTATTTTGATTGGTTTGGATAAAAAGAACAATTTTAACTTGAATCCGACCGAATCCAACTGTGATCACACCTATATAAAACTAATTATCAAGGAAATAGAGTCATATTTGGACTTTAGTTCCACAACTTGAATTTAATGTTAACTTTAATGATAATTGTAAGCATCTTTAATACCTTAAAACTTCTTTAGTGTTACGGAATATCTTCTTCACAACTATTCAAATCCCTTCAAGCTATTTAATCAAAATGAAATGCCTCAAGATGTAGATTCTATTTTTTTTCTTAAGAAAGGAGTTAAAATTCTTCAGGTTGTGAACTAAAAACGTATATATTAAGAGTGACACAATGTTTTGATCAATATTATAAAAATATAAATGTATATTTTAGAATTTTAATATAGTATATCTAGTAATATTAAAATAATAAAACAGTAGAACTCCTTAGACGTAGATTAGTTGATAAAATCTCATACGCCAAGTTCCACATTAACATTAAAGGAATTATGTCATTTTAGTCTTACAAAACATACTTTATAAATTAGTCCCACATGGGTGATAATATTAAATGAAAATAATAGATAGTAGAATTTCATATCTTTTTAAATTAGAGTGCACATTGTTCATGAAAATGAATTTCAACTTACCTTTCAATTAGTGCATCTCCAAAATCTTTTACCAGGATTTTCTTTGTTGTGGGATATCAAAATGATAACGGGTTTCTTACATTTGCAACTAACTTGCTGTCGAGCAAAAGACAAGCACAATGAACCACGGAATGAACTCATTTGATGAAGACAAACCCAAGTTGGGTCAAAGACGATGACAAACGAACAAGAACCCTAACTCCTTCTCTTTCAGGGTTCTTCTTCTTCACTCAGAGAACTCTCTTTTTCTTCTTCTTCTTCTTCTTCTTTTTCTAGGGTTCTTTCAATTTGTTCTCATCCAAAGATGTTTCCTAAACCCTTAACCGTGAAACGTGGACATTTAAATGATATGACAGACACTGTTGGGTAATGACATGACAGTCTGTCAGCCATGTCATCACTTAATAGAGAGGGACTAACACCAGGTACTAAATTGGAGAAAAAAAAATAGTCAAGTATTTAAAACAAAAAAAATAATAGATAGTAATATGAAAATCAACTTAATTGGAAGTAGTTTGAACATATTTAAGCCTTCTTAAATTGGTGTCTTGTCTCGTACTCAAAAATTGTGGTTTTCTACTTAGATCTGTTCAAAACTTCAAATATATCTTACCATTGTGTTGTGTGTATGTGTAGGTTATGTCTGCAAGCATCAATCCACATGTGCAAATTTTGAATATCATGAATTGGGTGATGTGAATTTTAATAAAGTAGGAGAACTTTCGTTAATTTTTTATATACTTAAAGGTTCTCCTAACTTGGATGAAGTTATTATAAAGGTGACCAAGAACTTTATTTCTTGATCAATTTGCTTTTCTAGTTATCATATCTTGATTTAGTTTTCTGTCTTGTATTCATAGAATAATAGCAAGATTGTTGTGCCACAAATGATTTTTAAAAAATTTGATTGCAAGGATTGATTCTTTAATCAGCTTCAAACCATGAAGATCATAGTTAAAACTGCTTATAATTAAGGATGCACTTAATTTGATACAATTTGTGCTTTTTACAAAGTCTTCATTATCAAAGATCCTATATAATGGTCTTATTAAATAATTGTTGATTTGTTGTATTTGATTTTTAGCTTTTATGCTTCTCCAACTTGCCCTCTGAGTTTTAATAAATTTAATAGATTTTTTTTTGATATATTTGAAAATCAGTTGAGATTGACAAAAGAAAATTATACGTTATAAATGTTTGCTACTTTTTTATTAAAACATGTTTTTTCATTAAATATAATTTTAAACTAATATTTAAACATATACAATTAGTTTATTCTTGAGTTTCTTTTTAATAGATTTTTTTAAGTACATGCGACGTGACTCCTTAAAGTAAAATAATTTTATAATCATTTTATTTCTTTTTTTCTGTAATGAAACTATCTCTCAAACAAATACAAATAATAATATTATTCTTACACCATGAACATTTAACTTAAAATTTTAAGTAACTTATTTAATCTTAATTAAATAATGATATGTATTAATAAATGATCAATTTAACCATTAATATTTATATAAGTAAATCATAAATCATATAAACTATGTAATTTTTCTACATGAATAGTTCATTTTTTTAAATAAAACTAAAACAACTCTTCACACTTTAAATCATGAACGAATAGTAGAAGTATAAATAATAATTACTGACCCTATATATTAACATACATCATTTCTAAATAAATGATATTTAATTTCAAAGATTAATTTATGTAAATTAACGAAAGAGTAAATTTTTTTAAAAAAAATTAAAACTAAAAATCGAATAAATTGAGAGAATAAATTATATGGTTCCTTAATAGGATCCGAGCATTTTTTTCATTTCGCTTTTTGCAAAATCTTTGTTTTAATAAAAAGCCCTAATTCGATTACTCTAACTAATATAACATTCGGATTCTCTTCTTCGTCACCTATCGAAGTTCCGAAAGTGTGAATCTTGTTCGAGGTAATTTTTCGAGGCTCAAGTTGAACAGCATATTTAAATTTAAAATTGGTCACCGCAACGATGAATTTATTTATAATTCAATTATTGTTTCGTAGATATTACATCTTCCAAAATTTAGCATTTAGTATGTTTTGATCGATGTTACCCATAGGTTCAATAGAGTTTGTTAAGCATGGTGATAGGGATTGAATTTCTTAGAAACTTTGTTAGGAGATGCAAAACTCACTTAGATGATCTCTACGTGCTAAAAGAATTAGTTTTGGATCTTGGTGAAAACAAAAAGAAAATATTATGAATTGGTAATTGGGAGGCTGTGCCCTGTTATTTATTTTAAATCTCTTGCAAAGTTCATTAGATTGTGTTCTCTATTAGATGTTCTTTTTATGTTCTGGCTTGTGGGTGGTGTCTAATATGGTTGATTATGGATGTACTTTTATAATGTTGATCATAATATATACTCTTTGCTTGCATTTCTAGTTTACTTATGATCTGGTACCAGAAAAAGGCTTATCTTGACGACTACATTGATCGAATCAGTGACTTACCTAGGAATGTAATTGGTAACATCTTACAATATTTGCCCATCCAAGAACAAGTTAGAACCAGTATTCTGTCAAGGAAATGGAGGCATAAGTGGGCTTCAGCCCCACAACTTGAGTTCAATGGTAACTTTTTTGAGAAGTGTCATGAGTCTGGAGTTGATTCTTCTAGTTTAGTTACTGAAGTTCTTCTGCTCCACAATGGCCCGCTACACAAGTGTACTTTTTACCTCCCTCCAATATATTACAAACCAGTGAGAGAGGAATGTATCAGTAAGTGGATTCTGTTTTTGGCAAGGAAAGGGGTTAAAGTTCTTGAGCTTGAGAACATAGGAGAAGATACCTATCAAACTCCATCTCATGTCTTCTCTTGTCACGACTTGACGTATCTTCACCTTGGGAGTTTTATTCTGTCAACAGTGCCCAATTTTCATGGCTTTAAAAGTCTGGTTGACCTTAACTTGTATTACATGAAATTTGAGTCATGTGCATTTGAGTGTCTTGTTTCTGGCTGTCCCTCACTTTTGAAGCTCACCATTTATCACTGTTCTGGTTTGGAAGATTTTTATGTCTCTTCTGCTCTCAAAAGTTTGCACATAGAAGATGACGAAGTTATCAAGTCAATTTGTTTGAAGCAAACACAAAATTTGGCTTCTATCACACTCTTGGCTAATGGACTTGGGGATGAAATTGACAGAGAATGGGTAACTGATTTGTTCAAAGACTTGTCGAAACTAGAGAGACTATCACTGGGAACAGCTTATATTGAGGTTAGAAAACAATGACACATCTAAGTCTATTAACTTTTGTTTAGTTGGATTTTATTTGTTGGACTGACTCTTGTATGTTAGCCTGGTAGATTTTATCTAAAACAATAGAACAATGTAGTAATTTGTTGACACGTGGAAATGCTCTCTCTAATTACACATCTCTATGGAGTGATTTAAGTTCTCTTTTATTAAATGACTCTAATAATTTTTCCACAAGTGAATATAAGCTACCAAGTTATGTTTTGCAAAAATGAAAACCAAGGATTAGCGAACCATACATCATCATCAATTGCTTTATAATTTCATCACGAATTGACATTTTTTCTCATCAGTTTCCCCTAGCTTGGTGGCCCTATTTTTTATTTATATATTTATGAAGTTATCCTTTTCATCTATAGTTAGTCAGAAAGAGAAACAAGGTTGCATTTATGTTTATGAACCAACATTCTTAATATGGTGCCTTCTCTTATACTACAAACTGTATTTCTAGTTGGATGCAGTCAAATGTATCTTACCATTATGTTGTTTGTATGCATAGATTTTGTCTGCAGGTGTAGGCATCAATCTGCAAGTGCTGCTTAAAGATGTAAAACATCTGGAATTGAAGGGTGTGAATTTCATTGAAGCAAGAGAACTTTTTTTTATTATTCATCTGCTTGAAAGTTGTTCTAACCTAGAGAAACTTGTGATAAAGGTGACCAAGAAGATCTATACTTAGTTTGCTTTTGTAATTTTGTCATATTTTGATTTTGTTTTGTTTTGTTTGTTTCATAGAATAATAGTGAGGCTGTGGAAACACAACAGATTTCGAAGGAGTTTGACTGCATTAACTGTAAATTTAATAAGCTTCTAACTTTGGACATGACAGTTAAAACTTCCTATAAGCCTGCACTTGACTTTACTCGGTTTGTGCTTGCAAATTCCCCGGCATTCAAAAAGCTTACTTTCAAGGTTGGTCTTGATCTAAATCAATCAAATGCACCTATATTGTTAAGTATTTCTCAGGATTTGCTGCAGATGGAGCGAGCTTCACCAAGATCACAAGTTAAATTCCTTCACGGTGCCCGTTTATGTTATTTTTGATTTTGGCCTTCCAGCCCCAACTCCTTTTGTTTTCATATATTTTATTTTTCCTAGGTTATGCTCCAACCTCTTTAAACAATAGATTTATTAGTACATTTGGTTTTATGGAAAAAAATAGTTGGAGACAATTCAATGTTAAGTATTTTTTATTCTTGGGTGGAAGAGTATGGTAGTGTAGGTTGGGTGATTCCAAACTAGAGGATGATGAATGTAGCTCTGTTTTCCTTTTTTTTCTAGGATGGCCTCACACGGCCCAAATCCAAAAAACAACATAAAAATAAGAAACAAATTAATGAAAAAACAGTTTTGAAATTAAATTTGATAAGTTAATGGGATTTAGAAGGACCTGGGCAAATTAGCATGAGCATTATTTGTTAGTCAGTCAGTTACCAAAATTAAATAAATAAACAAAATAAAAATAATAAATAAACAAATTTTGGTATAAATGGCCGAATTTGAAATGAAAAAGTGGAGGGGGGTATTGTAATCGGCTCAATGAGAAAAATCAAATCAATAAACTAATCGAAAAAGATAACACAAGAGTTTTGAGTTAGTGTTAGGCTCAATCTGATATTGAAAAACAATAGTCTTCTGGTTCAAACCAAAAAAATAAAAAATAAAAATAAAAAAAGAAATCTTCTAGAGCCATTGTGGTCCAAATCAATTTGACTAATGTTACTTGGTAGTAAAAGAAAGATATGGATAATAAAATGTAGAAAGAATACAATAAAATGAAAAATCAAGTTATTCACAAAATATTTTATTTTAACAAAGATTGAATGGTAAATATGTTGCTAAAAAAGGATAAAATAAAATGTAAATTTATAAAAGTTTAAATATATTTTTAGTCTCGGTAAAATTAGCAAGTTTTGATTTTGGTCTTTTTATAAAGAATTCTTTATTTTTGATCTCTCTAAAATGAAATTATTGTTTTTGGTCTTTATTTTTCATGTGACTATTTTTAATTATTTTGTTTATTAATTGGTTAAATGATCATTCATGACTATTAGTGATATTATGTTAGTGTTAGAAACCTCAAAATTTGTATTAATATTTAAAAAAAATATTTATAAATTTTAGACAGATAAAAAATAAAGAAAAAAAATTATAAGAATCAAAATCAAATTTTACTTATTTTATATGAAATAAAAATATATTTAAGTCATAAATAAATAAAAAGTAGAAAAGATTGGATGAGAAAATCCATTGTTTATATATTATCAAATAGACCCAATTAAAATATTACACTTGAAAGAAGTTAAATTCATGACTCAAGCTTGAGTAAACAACACACTACAAACTACTCTATATTTATTGTCCCAAGTATTTCTTTAAACAAAAATGTATCTTTGGGATAGTATGATAAGAAGTAAGGTGCGTGAAAGGATTCAGCAAGTCAGATTAAGATGTGATAAGATTAATGATACTTGAAAAATATTTTGAAAAAGAAAATCCTATAGACATCCTATATATGAATCCTATAAGATGGTAGCTTGAGTGAATCATTATAAGTTTCAAGAGTCATCTCAATACTTCTAATTATATGTTAAAAATTCGTCGTGGTTACATGTGTTTGGAAGGAAAGTAAAATGGATGCAAATATAAAGGAGAAAAATAAAGTAAAAGGAAATAGATAAAAAAAAATGAAAATAGGTATGTTTGTTTTAAGAGAAGTAAGAAAAATAAATAAATAGAAAAATGATAAATTATATCATAATTGATTATGTCATAAGAAAATCGATTATAGGTCTTGTTTTATCGATTATGTCATTGAAAAATCAAATAAGTGGCATGTGCATTTCTAGTAAAGTGTAAGAAGATGCAATTTTGTGCTATTTCACATCAATTGAACAAATAAATTTTATTGTAACAGATCTACCACCTTACATTTCTTTGCTCATTGTTTCCCACAATCAATCACCATTTTTAAAATGATCGTTATTTCTACTCTCTTCAAGAGCATCCTAAATTTTCATAAATAATTGTTATAATAATAAGAATAGTAATAGAAATAATATTTGGTTTATTTTAATTAGCTTTAGTTAATTAATTAATTAGGACTTTTAAGATAACTAAAAGAGGTTTTTAGAATTTAAATAAAATAAAATAAGTTGGTTTGAAGTTAAGTGACAAGGTTTTTTTATTATAGAAACTTAACCCATCACTTAAATTCTCAAGGTCTAAGGGAGAAAGCTAGAAAAATAGTTTGAGGGTCTTTTTAGTTCCTTCTAATGCTATAGAGAAATGTACATACATTACTTGAGGAGACTGAGGAACGAATTCAAGAGTAGTGTTTTATACTCTTGCAACAATAAAGATCAAGTTATAGAGGTAAAGCGAAATGAACTTATCTCAATCACGTGTATGTCTAAAAATTGTTGGTAATGGGAATAACCCTAAATCCTTAAGAAATTGTGTATAATGGGAATAAAGATCACGTGTATGTCTAAAGATCCATACATGTGGATGCACTCTCAAGTCTCTGTTGTGACAAATCCACACTTTGTCGCAACAAATTTGAACTCATACATCATGGAAGACCCACACTCGTGCAACAAATTTGCACTCAAATGACAAATCCACACTTGTGGAAAAAGAAGAAGCAAGAGAAAATAAGTAGAAAAGAAAAAAGAAAAAAAAAATGTCGCTAATAAAAATTGAAATATATTGTATTAATTTAGAAATTTGTTTCTTTTTTTAAGATTAGGATATTAGGTTAATAAATAAAAACTCTTGAGATGATAAGAATCATCCAACATATAGAGAAAGTCATCGCCTTAAATGAAAGAGGAGTCATATAGATGAGGGTTTCTAAGTTTCGCTAGAGACTTGTGAGGAAGGGATTTTCAAGGTTCTTCTATAAAACCTATGAGGAAGGGGCTTCCGATTTTCAACCATAAAAATTGTGAGAAGGGGTTTTCAAGTTTTATCCACAAAACTTGAAGGCGGGATTTTCAGGAACATACATGTAATACATTTTGAGAAGATAGGCATGAAGGGTCAAAGAACGTTAAATAAATTTTGTGTGATTTTTTTTAATCTATTGATGGTGTTATTTTTAATATATTTCTCATCATTATTGTCCGTAAAAGAAAAGAAGTTTTTTTTTCTTAACATTGATATCAGAGTTGATGGTTTCAATCAAGTAACTGACTTAGAGTCTTAGACGAGTATTTGACAATGGAAGGAAGGTGGATCCAAGTATGTGGCGTGTCCTGTTGATTTGTGAACTAACGATGGTGAAAATATCTATAGCTGATAGTGTGGCTAAAACTCTAAGGCCACTGTTGAATATTTGTAGATGAAAAAAAGATTTTCGCTGAAAGGGAGTTAAACCATGGTCCTTTGTTTAAGAAAATATTCATTGTGAGGTACAAACAAAGTTTCACATCATTAGATCATAAGAAGAAATTGAGGTTTAAAAAATTATAGATGTCTTCTGAAAACAGTTTATAAAGCACACATAGTCTCCATTTGTATAAAGTATTTTGAAAGATGACCAAAAGCAAAACCATAAGAGCTTAGGACCAAAATGGACAATACCATACCAATGTGGAGACATGTGTGTGTGAACCTTGAGTGCCCAATAGAAAGCAACAACTAATCTTTGTCAGGGATCATTAATGTACACAAAGTGAGTATTCCATTCCTAACATAATCTATTCCATAGTTAAGGCCAAGATTTGAACCTGAACAATTTGATTAAGAAATATAAGTTACTATCACTTATGACAACCAATATTTGTAATGACTATCCTAGATTTTATCTGCAATTATTAATAATATTATATAAGTGAGTGACACCTCTATTATAAATCATTGACATAAATAATTTTTATTTAATATTTACTTTAAAATGATCATCAGAGATAAAAAAATATATATATATTCTCTTTATCCCATAATAAGTGTCTTACTAGAAGAAAAAAGTTGTCCCAAAATAAATATTATGTTAGATTTCCAATATAATATCAATTGTCTCTTTTTTATTTATATTGTTAATAATATTGTGTAAAAAGTAGTGTTGTGTTGTATTGTGTTGCATCATTTCTAACAAAGAAAATTAATTATTAAATTAAATTTATAAAATTATTATTCTTTTTTATCTATTTATTTTTTCTTAATATATATAAAATAACTTAAAATGATCCTTATTGTAAGATAAATGAAGTAATTTTATATTCTAGAATAATAGAAATCAAATAACAATATTTTCTAATATTAAAATAAAAAATTTCATTTTAAAAAATAAAAATAATATTTAGAAGTTGTAAAAATTAAAAAATAATTTTTTTTACATAAATTAAAATTAAAACTCACTTATACGTACATTTAAAAAATATATATTTAAGTCAGAACCTTTACAATATGTTATAAAAAAAATAAAAATAAAAAAAACAAACAAACGAACAAACAAATGACCTTTAAAACAAGCCTGGAAATAAAAGAGTAACCTTAATAGGATCTGAGTGATCTTTTCATTTCCCTTTTCACAAAATTTGAGAGCTATTCTCTTTCTTAGAATAAACTCTCCTTCATCTCCCATTCACCAAACCTTTCGAAGGTGTCTCTCGCTGAATCTTGTTCAGAGGTAAATTTTTCGAGGCTCAACCTTGTACCCACCGTATTTAAATTTAAATTAGGTCACAGTTGTGTATAAGTTACAATTAGCTAGTAGATAGAACGAATCAAGTCTCTTGATTTATCTGTTATAAGGTTTGTCCTGTAATACACACGATTCAATCCGGTTCCCTCAGGATCCATTTTCGTTAGTGTTAAAATAATGTTTCATTAGGAACACCACTTTCCATAGACCAAAACCTAGCAGATATTACATCTTATGTAATTTAGCACTTAGTATGCTTTGATCGGTATTACCAATATGGTCAATATTAAGCATTTAGATGGAGATTTGATTTCCTGATCCTGCATTTAGAGAAGATTTTGTTGGGAAAGAATTAGTCTCTGATTATCGGTTTGGACCTTGGTGAAAACCAAAATAAAAGGAAAATATTATCAATTGCGTAATTGGGAGGCTGTGCACATTGTTTATTTTAATTTCTTGTAAAGTTTATTTGTTTGGGGATGTGGGTGTGTAATATAGATGTATGTGCTTTTATAATGTTATGATAATATTTACTCTTTGCTTGCTTTCTAGTTTACTTATGATCAGGTGCCAGAAAAAGGTTTGTCTTGACGATAACACCGATCGAATCAGTGACTTACCAAGGAATGTGATTGATAATATCTTACGATACTTGTCCATAGATGACCTAGTTAAGACCAGTATACTCTCAAGGAAATGGAGGTATATGTGGGCTTCAGTTCCACAACTGGAGTTTGATAATGACTTCTTTCTGACTTGTGAGTGTGTGGAAGGAATCGAATCTTCTAGTATAATTACAGAAATTCTTTTGCTCCACAGTGGTCCGCTACATAAGTTCACAGTTCACTTTTCTTCAGAAGATTTTATCTCAGTCGAAAATGTATGCATCAATAAGTGGATTCTGTTTTTGTCAAGGAAAGGGGTTAAAGTTCTTGAGCTTGAGAACCTACAAGAAAAACCCTATCAAATACCATCTCATATCTTCTCTTGCCATGACTTGACTCATATTCACCTAAGTAATTTTGAACTGCCACCTGTGCTCAACTTTTGTGGCTTTAAAAGTTTGGTTGACCTTCACTTGTTTGACATTATATTTAAGTCGGGTGTTCTTGAGAGTCTTGTGTCTGGTTGTCCCATACTTGTGAAGCTCACCGTTTCTTATTGTTCTGGTTATGAACGTATTTATGTCTCTTCTCCTGCTCTCAAAAGCCTACACATAGAAGATGACAAAGTTATCAAGTCAATTTGTTTGAAGCAAGCACAAAATTTGACTTCTCTCACACTCTTGGCTGATGGACCTGGTGATAACATTGACAGAGACTGGGTAACTGATTTGTTGAAAGACTTGTCAAAACTCAAAAGGATATCACTGGGAACAGGTTACATTGAGGTGAGAAAACAGTGATACATATCTAAGTCTATTAACTTTTTTTTAGTTGGATTTCATTTGTTGGCTTGATTCATATGTTAGCCTGGTAGATTTTATCTAAAATCAATAGAACAGTATAGTAATTTGTCATATGGACATGTTCTCTCTATTTACACATCTCTATGAGTGATATATGTTCTGTCTAATTAGTAATTACACGACTGTATATTAATTTTCCACAAGTGAATATAAGCTACCAAGTTATGTCTTGCAAAAATGAAAACCAAGGATTAACGAATTATACATCATCATGAATTGCTTTATATTTTCATGACAAATTGACATTTTCTCTCATCACTTTTGCCTAGCTTGGTGGCCCTATTTTTTCTTTATGAAGCTATCTAATTCATCTATTGTTGGTCAGAAAGAGAAACAAGGTTGCATTTTGGTTTATGAACCAACATTCTTAATACGGTGCCTTCTCTTATACTACAAACTGTATTTCTAGTTGGATGTGGTCAAATATATCTTAACATTGTGTTGTTTGTATGCATAGATTCTGTCTCCAGGTGTAGGCATCAATCTGCCAGTGCTGCTTAAAGATGTAAAACATCTGGAATTGAATGGTGTGAAGTTAATTGAAGCAAGAGAACTTTTGTTTATTGGTTATGTGCTTGAAAGTTCTTCTAACCTAGAGGAACTTGTTATAAAGGTGACCAAGAAGACCTGTACTTTTCTTAGTTTGTTTTTGTAATTTTCATATTTTGATTTAGTTTTCATTTTCTTTGTTTCATAGAATAATAGCGAGGATGTGGAGACACAACTGATTTTTAGGGATTTTGACTGCGCTAACTTTATTAAGCTTCAAACTGTAAACATCACAGTTAAAACTTTGTATGAGCCTGCACTTGACTTTATACGGTTTGTGCTTGCAAGTTCCCCGGCATTGGAGATCCTTACTTTCAAGGTTGATTTTGGTCTATCAGATGCAGCAAAATTGTTAAGTATTTCAAGTGATTTGCTGCGGATGGAGCGAGCATCGCCAAGAGCACGAGTTAAACTCCTTCATGATGTTCTTATTAAATAGTGTTGTATTTGAGTTTGGTCTTTCAACCCTAACACCTTTTGTTTTAATATATATTTTATTTTTCCTGGGTTATGCTTCAATCTCTTTAAAGTTTAAACAATAGTTTTATTATTACACGAGAGTCTATGGAACAAAATAGTTGAAGTCACTTCAATGTGAAGTGTCATTTCTTTTTTCTTTGGTTGAAAGAGCGTAGGCTGTGTGATTTTCAAACTAGAGGATGATGATGATTTGCGCTGCTGATCTCGGAACAGAGATGTAGCTCTCTATGTTCTTTGACTTTTCCCCCCTTTTTCTCTAGGATGGACTCAGCGACTCATCCAAAAAAAAAAATGACATGAAAGTTGAGAAACAAATAAATGAAAATGTTGGATAAGGGAGTTAAACACTAAAGAGCACTTGATCTATGAATAGTGAGCAAATCATATAAGTGACCTAACATTATAACATAATCCAAAATCTTAACGTATCAGGTAGGTTGATCTTTCTCATTCATGAATTACTTAATGTGTTTAACTTTAATCGATATAGGACTCATTTCACATGTTAACTCTAACATTCTTTTTTTAAGTGTGAATTTTTTTTACATGATTACACTCTCTTGCTAGCAGATGTCTTTTTCATTCATGAGTATTTAATTGTGACTTACTTGTATTGTTGTTAACACACTTTAACGGAACACATCCTCCTCACTCTAAGAAGGCTTTCGATGCAATGAATGATCTTACTCTTAGATCTCCCATCAATTTCATTATTTGGAATTTCACTCTTGGATCCATCACGAACTCTATTGGTCAATATTCATTTGAGTCAGTTACTTGGTTGAATCATCAACTCTGATACCACTGTTAGGTCAAAAAGTTAAATAATGGAGAGTACTTGATCCCTAAGTGGTGAATAAATCGTATAAGTGAGCTTAATACTACAACATAACCCAAAACTTTAAAACATTAAGTAGATAAGTCTTTTTCATGTATATACTACTTTAAAAGTCTAAGAGACTCATTTCATAATTGGACTCTAATAGAAAAATCAATTATGAAATTAAGTATGACAAGTTAATGGATTTAGAAGGACCTAAACAAATTAACATGAGCATTATTTATTATGAACATTCAATTATAAAAAATAAGTAATAAATAATAAATAGATTTGGGGGATAAATAAGGTGCCCACTTCGAAAATAAAAAATTAGGAGGGAGGCATTGTTGTAATGGCCCAATGAAGAAAAATAAAATATATTTTAATAATACATCTCTCATCCTTAACTTCCTAGTTTTTCTTTCTGTTTGAACCATTAAGGTTGAGTTGAAATAACTTCCTAGTCCAATTTTGATTAGACCAATTTGATAGGTCTGGTCTTAACAATTTGATTATTATATAGTTAAGTGAAAATTATTAAAATAAAATAGTGCATATATATTTAAGAGTATTAAAAATTTATTTTGATTTTTGGCTCAAGGTCATATCTCGAATATGTACTTATATTAACTACTTAGAAAAAAAATTGTCACTCATAGTATTTATATCTATTTTTAATAAGATTGTTATTGATAAAGGATAGATGTGATCTATATCAAAAAGGTCAATAAAAGTTGTTACTAAAATATATTAATGTTGCATTTAAATAAGGCTTAAACATAGTTTTAGTTCTTGCAACATGAATAAGTTTTGATTTTAATCTTTGTAAAAAATTTCATTATTTTTATCTCTCTAAATTTTGGAACTACTTTTTTAGTTCTTATTATAATGTGACAAATTTTAACTATTTGTGCGGTTATTAAAATATTAAGTGACCAATGCAAGTGTTATTTATCATTGTTAGTGATATTATGCTAGAGATCTAGATGATCAAAGAAGTCTCCTCTTAGTTGTTGGCTAGGACAAACAGGATACCATCATTACTAATAGGTAATAAGAGACGGTCCTGTAGCCTATAGATTATTTGGTGATGAAGAATGACTTGCATCTATGTAGAGAACTAATAATATGAAATATATACTTTAGGTTTTTGGCTAGGTGACTAATAATATAAAAGATATTATGTTAGGGATCTGAATCATGTAGTCTATAGATTATTTGGTGATGAAAAGTGACTACATTTGTGTAGGAAACTAATAATATGGAAGCTATACTTTAAGCTTTTAGAGAGAATAAGAAAATTAGAAGAAACACATTTGTGAAGAAAAAAAATTCATTCAACCAAGTTTACCTTTATCCTTCATAAAATCCTCTATTTATAGAAGATGAAATCTACTAAAGATAAAATATATTACATCACATTACTTAACTTTGATATTACATCATATTGTCTGACCGTACTTAACTTTGATATTATATTATTTAATTTTATCTAACTTTGACATTACATTATTACCTTATCTTTATATGATATCTAACTTTCTACAAAATCTTAAATATTATTTACTTATCTTAAAATGATATAAAAAAAATGTTCAAACTCTAATTATTAACTGTCTCTTATTATTAACCGTTAAATTTTAATTCATTTCTTAAAAATTACAAGGAGAGACGAAATGCTACTATAAGGACGTCAAGTTGTGTGCGATTAGTTTCTCCCAAAAATCGAACACGTCAACTTAGTGGCATTATGTAATCCAACAAACTAATACTCCACTCACATTGTAAATTGATAAAATCAATAAAATAAAATAAAATAAAAATTGTACTACGACGTTTTCAATTACATATTGTACTACCACGTTTTTAAGTTTTCAATTGTCCGTTTTCATTTATAACGAAAAGGTTAAAAACAAACGAAGGCCCTGTCTACCATTTTTTTTTTTAAATATATAAAAATTATTATAAAATATTTTGTGGTTCTATTAAAATTTATAAATAAAACATATTATAAATTAATAAATAAATTATTGTGTTAATTTACGCTTAAAAAAGAAAAAAAAAATACATGTCTAATTAATATATAATGTTATAGAAAGAAAGATAAAAATATATATGTATATATATATATACTAAGATTTTATTTTTTTTAAGGTTAAATACTAAGATGTTAGATTCTATGTATAAGTGTTAAAAAAAAAAGTTCTTGAATACGCTGAAGCCAAATTTTCTGGTCTGTCCCTAAAAACAAACAATATATTTTTTTTTCTTCAGTTTTTCACTTATTTTTTATAATATGCTCATTGATTTCTTAGTAGGATATGAGCGGTTTTTTTTTTTTTTTTTTCATTTCACTTTTTTGCAAAATTTGAGAGGTATTATCTTTCTTGAAATAAAAAGCCCTAATTCACTATCCTTCATCTCCCATTGACGAAACTTATGTTAAACTCCAATATTATATTTTCACCATCATCGTGAATTGCTTTATATTTTCATCACAAATTGACATTTTTCCCATCAATTTTGCCTAGCTGAGTGGCCCTATTTTTTATTTATTTATTTATGAAATTATCATTTTCATCTATTGTTGGTCAGAAAAAAGAAACAAGGTTGCATTTGTGTTTGTGAACCAACATTCTTAATATGGTGTCTTCTTATACTACAAACTGTATTTCTAGTTGGATGCATCAAACGTATCTTACCATTGTGTTGTTTGTATGCATAGATTTTGTCTGAAATAAATAAACAAAATAAAAATAATAAATAATCAAATTTTGTTATAAATGGTCCAAATTGAAAATGAAAAATTGGTTTGTGTGTGTGGGGGAAGAAAGAAGGGGGGGGGGGGG